ACGTTATGTACACTTGAAGTTATCAACGCTATAGTCGCTTTAGACATCACTATCGACCTTATAATTATTACTATCTTTGATTTTCGTTGGATATCTACTCATTTGGACTGATTTTGTGCTGGATCAGGTCACGAAGACGGAAGCGGGTTTCTGACCTTCAGGAATGCAACGGTTGAAATTCCAAAGCAACATTCTTGCGTGGAGCAGTGGATCGGGGCTGTTACCAACGATTCGGTAAAGTATGACTGGAATACGGTATCTACCAACGACACCAAGGACACTCTCTTGCGAAAGCTCTGCTTTTTCATTTACTGCGGCCCTGATTCAAGTACAGTAAACTGTTTTCGTTTTCTGTGGTGTGCAAGTCTTTTTTTCTGTTGAACGTAGATCCATGGTATTATAGCGTATATGACTAATGATGTACCAGTGTTGTATGAGTAAACTGTGTGAGTGTAATCTTAAATCAAAAAACCTATCCCATTTCATTTAGCCTTACCCAAACACTCATTGTTTATTCGCCTATAAAATGGCAGACTGTTACTGTTTACGAGAGGAGAGAAGAGATTAATTCTTACGACTTCTAACGAACGAACGATCGACCGAACGTTATTAAACTACTGCCGAAACCCGTTGTTCTTGCTTTCCCTTTATCCTTAATTCCTACACCATCATAACTTGACTACAGTTAGATCAAGTTAGGCGACTGGGCCGCCGGAAAGGCAATCCAGTACGTAGCGTTTCAGCCTACGTTGTAGTATTTTACAGAAGGCATCTGCCCTCTGTCACAAGTGGAAGGATGGAGGTCTAATTATGCAGGTTCATATCATTTCGACGCAGTAATGGGCTTATGGTTGGCGGTGGCTCAGTTTGTTGGGATGATGGTTTTTTTATCATGGTTTACCGAGCCGTGTGCAACATGTGCACAACAAAATGCACGTGAAGGCGGCGGCTTTATTGCCTGCTTTTGGATTATATCTTTAATGATATGGATCACTTCATGCATGTCTCTCCTTTGGTTGTTCTTTTTGATAGTTGATTTTGCTCGTATTGCGCCTATCTTTCTTGGCTTGTTGAGCTGACTCCGGCCGGAATTATTCTGTATAATACTAACCTTAATCTCTCCAAGTCCATTCCCTTTAAAACTGGCGATTTTACTTTGTTGCAGAAACTACAGTAGTATGATTCGCAGGAGTAATGAAGTTGTTTTGACTGCAGCAGCACAACGAACTTAGCCTACCTCAAGGCTCAAGCATATCCAGTTTTATATTTTTATCATCTCCTGTCTGGTAATGCGTTAGCAGTTTTTTCGGTTTATAATCCACAGAGATACATAGGCAGCACCCAACAACAGCATATTATACCGAGCGATGTTTGAATGGTACTCTCACTCGTCACGTATCACCGGTAAATAAATTCCTATTGCGTGATGATCAGCATGAGTGGTACGGTAAGGCGTATCTGTAAAGTCACGAAGAGGAGAAGGACTAGCAGCAGAATGAATAATGCTTAAGAAATTCAGCAGGTTGAAACCATCTGATAATTTCGTACACAATTGTCGTTTTTAATTTTCTACAGAGATTTTACGTTGCCAGCATGTATGTCATAAGAAGAAAAAAACATTGCGCGAGTAATTTTTTTTCATCACCAACTGTAAGGAAATAAACTGACTAGTAGTCTAATACCAAGATTTATTTAGGTACATACATCTGCGATTATATAGGGGAAATACAAGTCTAACCGAACCATACCCTTGTACTTCTGATGTCGACAGCAGGTGTTTTACGTTGTGGCTATACATCGTGCTTAATCTTATGTACCGCGCCTGATATAACCGTATATTGTATTGCTGTAACGTCGCAATCCAGGCGGGTGACGGCAGCAGTACAGGGAAACGGGCTGAGTAAAGTTGTTTCTGGGTGGGCAACTTACTCGATCGATTAAATCGGAGTGTCAAATTACCCGTTCGACTGCAGACATCCGGATGGTCCATTCTTCTCCATCAGACGACTGTTTTAACTGCTCATTTGTTGTTGTTTTTTTCATGTAATCTGCTAAGAAACCAAGCATAAGCTAGATAAGACTTCTGTTCGCACGGTATAATACTTTATGACATACGAAAACGAGCACTGTAACACCCCTGCACGAAGACAACTGTGAACGAAACTGTTGACTTTACAATAACTTTTCAGCACTGTTCCTAAGGGAATCGTATCTGAAGTACTCTATTTGATCTCTTCTGCTTTCATGTCCACGACGTGTAGTTCGACCGTATCTGATAGAAGTAGACGTTATCCTGAAACAAGTACATGACACTTTTCGCATTCCGGACAGTTTCGTAACACAGATTTCCGCACCGGGCACTGAACATTTCTACGTGATAGTTTTTTATTATCTTGTGTATATGCTCGTTTGCGAATAATAACCTTGTATTCTACTGCAGTTTGCAAAGAGGTTTTTGTCATATGAAATAGCGAGGAGAACACTCTGAAACAGCGCGGAATGTCTCTGTGTCTGGTAGGGGAATCCAAGAAACTTCCGTAAGGCAAAGATACACTTCTTTCTAAGCTGTAACGCTTATGGCGGAAACCGGCGCTGCTAATTTTAGACACAATGTCACGTATTTACTGAGCGGCAATACTTCCCCTTTGTTAGCAGCTCAGGCGATGCGGTTTGGCAGACTAAGCAACAACAATGCAACTACATACGCACATGTATTACGCTAGGAATACGAGGTACAACACTAAATACATACTGTAGCCGCCCGCACAAGTTAGACCACAGAGTCGGTATTCGGGAAAAGAGCGCTGCCAATATACCTACTTCAACCGGGCAAAATGCACGGTTTTGTGACTACGTTCTCAGACGTTCTAATAATTTTTAAATTCACAATTTGACTGAAGAGACTGTGTTTTCTAGCACAGTTTTAAGTTTTCTAGCACAGTTTTTCTAGCACAAACACAGAGACTGTGTTTTCTAGCACAGTTCTAAGTTTTAAGCTTTGAGCTTAAAACTTAAAGGAAGCAAAAACATTTAGAGCCTTGATCATTTGGTTGATAAACCTGATTTGCTGTGGTTTTTGGGATGCCCCTGGCAGGGCAGGGGTGAGTTAGCGTTGCACCAAGGAGCGTTACTCTGGACGGGGATGATTCTTGCGAGATGCAGAGCGGAATAATTCAATAAAGAATAACGAAGAAGTCGTGATTTTAAATTCAGTCACTCAGTTTTCCAAGATAAAATAATCGCTGACAATCAAATGGTTGCTTGGTACGGCAGCTGTGCATTTTGCCCGGCTAGAGTAGTTATATTTGCTGCGCTTTTTTCCCGTATACCGAATCTGTGGTCTAACTACAAGCAATTGTGTTATCAACGTTTCTAGTTGGTCCGAAATCGGCTGCTGATCGCACACACAGTATCTCGCAAGTTTTAACGATGATTAACGAACTCAACAAGAAAAACAGTGATGTCGCCGATTATCGGATTCTGAAGCTCTCCGACTATCGGCGGTAACACCATTTTTATTGTGTCTTCACGATAGTAAATATATCAGTCTTGCAGAAATACGATAGGACAAGTAAATAGGGATGTATATCAGAAAATAAATCGTAATCCGGCTGAAATTACCTTCGACTAAAGCGACAATTTGCGAATCGTATGTTACGGGTCGGTCAGGCTCGCTGGGCACTTGAAACATACCATGATTTGGCCGCGCCAGTATTTAACTGTTCGTCATAGATACTTGTAGCATAAACATTAAGTACCACGGGTGACTGCAGGCACGGTGTACTCACCAGGGCACATTTTACACCTCCAAATTCTAAAACTTCAAGGTTTTGTAAAATGGTAGTGACGCACTGCACTAAGGCGGACTTTATTCTTAATTTTTCAATATCGGGTTGTGCGACCTTGTGTCAGTAAACGAATTTCTGTCGACCAAACAGCGGGCCATCAAAATTGTTTAGAAACGAAGTATTGCGGCTGGACCGGTGATCAATTATACCGGCCATATTCCTGTAGTTACAAAGAACGAATCGCAAAATATTTATTATTATTATCTTTGTTACGATAGCTGATGGGTGTTTCGTAGGCTGTTTTGCTGTTGGGAAAAAGAAAATCAACGACAATTTCTACTCTCGTTTGCCTTGATTCAAACTTACTTTATTTTGTAATGCACCACATTAATTATGAAAATCGTTGAAACCAAAATTAGTTGAAACTCAACTTTTCTGAAAATGACTGCATTTTTTTGAGTTTTTGTAGTTACAGAAATCGGACCAACAGCAAATAATTACCACAGTGTTATTATTTGCTGATAATTACTACAGAGTAATTATTTGCATTTCATCGTGTGAAACTTTGGAACGTCGCTTCGGTTGTGCTGTTAGCTAAAGGCAAACAACAAAAGCAACGAGATGATACACGACGATTCGATCCCCTCAAATGAAGGCTTTCGTAGGCTGCTAGGAAAAGCGGATGTGACGTCGGCGTTTCTGTAGTCTCCCTTCTCTGTGCACGTATTATTTACCTAAACGCGGTGGTTACCATACAGTGCTGAAAGCTAAACAAGAATTGAAGTTTACCGTATTACTTAACTATCAAGCTTTATAAGAAACACATGAAAAAACGCTCAGAAAGTTCAGAAAGCTGGAATCCACGGTGCAATAAGCCAAACAGAAAGACTGTAGAAAAGCAAATTGTTGGTTGATACATAGTCTGCCGCAAAAGAATGTTGTTTGTGCAGCGAATTGTCGGGCGGCAAACAAGGTCATGGCATAGGCATGCTACCGTTCTTGACGCAATGTGGGAAATCTGCGGACGTAGTACGTACCATGGGGAGATGGAGCTAAAAACTCATGGAGAACGTAGAGCTTTCTCCTTAGGCCCGAAACGCGAGTAAGAAATTTGGTCACACACCAACTATCTATCCAAATGGGGTAACAAGGAAAGGCTACGAGTATAGCTTTGAGCAGCTTTTTCATCATGAAAAATATTGCGGTGCGAATTTTGTTCTGCTAGTCAAATTTATGGTCATATGTGATATTTATCAATGATCCACGCACAATGTACGGTAAGAGAATCAAAGTTTATACTGTATTTCAAAAATCGTAGCGCTTTTATGAAAGTAATGCTTCAAAATTAAGTGCCGGGTTAAATCGCATCCAGGTTTAAAAAGGTGGTCAATTATTGCTTAACATTACGACACAACAGCCAGTGGCCGCTGAATAAATTTTTCATTATTCCTTCAGCGAATTTTTTTTCGTCAGATACACACCGCCAAAGGTATTCACCAAAGTCTCAGTCAACCCTCGGAATAGAACGTAAGCGTCTGTCGGCAGTCCTCCTACCCATTGCTCTAGACGGTTCTTGACCAACGTCATCAAAGCAGTGCTTGATTAATGTCGTTCAAACAGAGAGCGGCATCTGGAAGCTGTAATAGAATCTCTTTAGCGAACCGCGGATGGTAGTTCTTCCACACAATCCGACCACAGCAGAGCTTCAGAGTGGAATGCTGAGGCTCCAAGTCGTTGAGTAGTGGGACCGCGTAGTTCTCCCGAAATCCCAAGGCCTGCGACAGCGAGTACCGGCATAACACCAAACGGTCAACGCGGACGCCGGCATGCCGTAGGACTTGTTCGATAAAGTGGATCGTGTCACCAGCCGGTGTGCAGTGAGTGGTTTTCTCGCTCAATTCTTGCCGGCTACGAAAGTCCCGCAAACAGATTGTTCTGGTGGCGGAAGTGACATGCTTTAAAATACAGCTGTGGGCGAGGTACCTGGCGATGCGGTAGTCTGTCTGCTGACGTAATGATGAGCCCACGCAGTCTGGCAGTGTCACACAAAGCTGTTGCACCACTTTCGGGGAAGCCAGGATGTCGTCCCACAGCCAACAAGTGCGTCGGCAGCGCAGCCGATCGAGGACTTCCAGTGACTGGAACACTTCCACTAAAAGTATTACTGGCAGTATCAGGCCGCGCTCTCGGGTGGTTAGGATGCTGGTGTCAAAGTCGTCCAGACCGTTTGTGTCCGGAATCTCGGGTCGAAAGTTGGTCGTTTTCTATTGAGAAAAAGGCATGAATATATGAACATCAATAAATTGTCATGAAATGAAAGCAGCCCGTTTTCTTCATCTGAACGTGATACGCCGAGTCACTGGAGTGATTCTGCTTATCCTATAACTGTGCAGTACGGCGTACTGCAGTTGCAAATGGTTACCACATGTACAAGCGGTAGAGCTGGTCGTAATGCGACTGATAGCGCTTATAGTAATGTCTTAACTTAGTTTTTCGTTTTTGTCTGCATCTCCATGGAGTGGTGCCTTTACTTTGTGTCACATGAAACTGATGTACGTAAAATCTAATACAAAACACCACAAGATTTTTTATGGGTATTTGCAGCTGACAAGAAAGGTGGAGAATGTTCATTGAGATCGCATCCACCTTCCTTCTAAAATCCGGCAGACTGGTGGATCAGTCGTCCAACAGAATGGGTATCGATGGTTCGCCCCCTGATTATCCGAAAAAAGATAAAAACCGAAAACCACCACAATAAAAAATATGAGTGCAGCGAGAACAAGCTTGTCCCGTAACTTCCATCGCAAATGAACGGATCCAGCGCAAAATTGCGCTATGATTGTACGATTGCCACTTACATGTATACCACGTCTACCAAACTGACAAAATTAATTTCCCTCCTCTCAAGATGTCAGATAATTATAAGTAGAAAAATCAATAATTATGATGTCCATTGTTCATAATTTATCTCAATATTTGGCACGCATCAGCCATCCCTGAACTCAGGGAGCATGTGCAGCTTAAATAATGTGCCGTGGCGCGCCGTAGTCAGTTCTGTCATCAAGGATGTGTCATGTGTTAGGAATGCACCAATGCACCAATGAAATGCTTTCACAAGGCCCTCGCATTATCGCGCTTCGATCGTGAGCGGCACGGATTCTGAGTGCAATCGGTGGCAGTTGCATTTGCTGAACAGCATCGAAAAACCTCTTTCCAGCCTTCTTTACAATGGAAGGCGCGGGTACAACATTCAGGCTGGTGTCCCAGAGATAAATTCTACAGAACCGATCTAAACACAAAAATTTCCTCTAACCCTCCGGGAAAAATCAAGTCCGTAGCGTGTTGCGTTGATATCACTCGTCATTTTAGCGGAGCATGTTAGTAAGTCCGCTCTCGCATTGGCCTGTCGTGTCTCAAGCTGATTTTGAATTTTTAACTGTTGCCACGTTGTTTTCGCTTGTCAGAACGCGTAGTGGCAACCTCCACTGCCGGTGGCAGTTGCCAGGGGCCGGTGCCGCTGCTATTTTATTCTCTGCCTTTTTAAGCACTACAGCCGTGACTTACCATATTCTGGTATAAAGCCGGCAAGACACGGCGCCGTTGACTGTAAGGACTGGGAAGGTCGATCAATCGGCACTGCAAGTGCTGACGTTCTGTACCTCGGCACTGGAACAGGTTCGATTTCGGTGCTGACCATTTCCAGTAAAATTCATCACCCCAGTTTCGAGGGAAAATGAAATGACCCGGTTGCAATGCTTGGCATCGAAGCTCTTCCGCCGAAGGTGGTTGCCGAATCTGTACGTAAGGCAGCAGTTCCCGGACTGCACGGCCGCCCAGCATGACCTCCACAAGAGCGTATTGCGCCAGACCGGCCACCTGGAAGATGACGACATTCGCTGGGTACCATTTCCAGGGCTGATCGTAATGCGCGCGGAGCAACACCTCGGCAGTAGGTATCTCCGCCTCTGACGAGCGGAGTTCGTACGCAAAACAGCTGTTATGATCCCCCTCTGTTCCCCATCTGCGGAGTCCGTATTCAAAACAGCTGCTACGATCCCCCTCTTTTTCCCATGCTGTTACCCAGTCGTGAGCGGTCCGGAAGCCATTGAAAACCTTCCCGTAATCCACCAGCACCGACTCCTGTCCCGGGCATCCGAAATCTACGAGCAGACGCCGCGCATGGCCATCGCTTTCCTGTAGGTCAATCACGTGACCGCGCTGCAGCAGTCCATCATCCCCCACCACATCCACCGCATTCCATGCGTTCACCCATCGACTGCCGTCTTCGTACCAATGCAGCATGCCAGTGTCGGATTTTCTGGTAATTGTAAAACAATATAGTTTACATGTTCTGTTATGCCTTGAATCTTCCGTTAAAACGTCGGCACAGCTATTGAGCTGCGACTCTTTAGTAGTGAAAATATTCCTGCTGCGATAGATGAGTAGATAGGTGAATTTTGCCACCAACAGCCTAGTGTGGCTTATCTTCTGCTGTTGGTTTACTTAAGTTGACTGATATCGTTTGGTAAACTGTGAAAGAGCGATTTCAGATGGCCTGTAACTCGGTTAATAGTCCGGTTTCCGCACCTTATCTGCTTGTCAACTAGATTAATACACTTTGCCAGCTATGTAAGCGTGGAAGTCTGAAAGATTCTCATGGTCACAGTTTGCCTTTGTAGCAACCGGCTTTTTACAGCAAACGTTCACGATCGGATAACAGGCTAACACAAAAGACATCCCAAAATTAATATCCCTAATGTACAGGTGTCTCCCTTCGGCAAGGCACTCAGCTTTTATCAACCTTTTTTCACCCATATAACATATTGCTAGAAACGTCCTTCATTAAGGAACCGAAACAAAACATAACTCCAGTTAACTCCAATGAAACAGAAAAAAACTGTTGAGAAAACCATGGACGGTCATTCGCTCTTTTTTCCGTGATCTCCACTCGTTTTTCTCGTGATCTCGAATTTTATCACTTTTTTTTATTTGGCTTGCCAACTTTTTGACAAAAAATAGTTCCGGACAACTTATTTCGCGCGAAGCCAACGCGCATTTTTGCAAGAAAATCGCTAGAAATTCTATAATAATTAGTACGCGTCAGAAAGCATTGCTCGGCTCGCTCGTGACCTATGATTGCCGCTCGCTCGCCCATCGATAAACGACCGCTCGGCTCGACTCTGCTTGCGCCAGTAGCGGTAAAAGCTCGTTCATTTGGCTATAGCGAGCCGCGAGCGCTCACAAGCCGAGCCGAGGCTCGGCGCTCGCGCACGGCTCTAAATTCCGATTAATCCGATGCGTCAGTACGGCACAGGTGTGGAATGTAGCGAGTATCAGAAAAATGATCTTGTTACACTATTCGGCTGGCACAAAAGTTTATTTTTGTAAAACTTTTTAAAAAAAAACAAAAATTTTAAGGTGAATTTTATTGAGTACTGTTCATCCAAAAAAATTTGGAAACGCTATTCGGTGCGGAAACATTGTGAAAGCTTATCCCACATTGCAAATTTCAATATCATTGCTTTTAAAAATTTAAAGTGTAAAAATCGATCCAGGGGTGGTGGGGCGGTGTCGCCCGTGAACGTTTCCTGCTATAACTATTAAAGCCTACATGATATCAGAAAACGGTATACCTATTATCAAGCTGGATCACTCATTAAATTAATGAGATTCTTCCGGTGTCAGGAATCTGTATTCTGTAGTATTCTTTAATACATTTCTTAGCTTTTCTTGAATTTGTTACACGCACCATAAAAGACTTATCAGTGTCAGTGTGTGAGTGTTGCTATTTCGTAAATTAGCAGTGCAGTTTCCACTCGGAACAGATACATATCAGATTCTCTCTTTTTATGCGTTTATTCCAATTTTATATTCCAAATTAGGATTAAAAAGGAATATGGAAAGCCGGATCGGTGCACCGACAACGTTACTGCGCATAAATTGCAATTAAAAGCAGTTGTTCTTTACTTTCTTCTTGTGGTGAACGAGCGCTGAGAAAGTGACAAGTAATGCCATATGGGTGTATACTTCTATCAGCAGAATCGGAGCTCTCTTCTCACTGGTTCTGAGGATTCGCTATAATTCTTGATTACTGTGGCGAATGATGACACCAGGGTAATCGATCAATGTACCAAAGCGGCGGGTGGGTCATATGTTTGCAGCGATTTAACTGGAATTGGTGGTTGCAGTTGTTAGCCGGTATCCGCAACCTGCAACGCTTCGGAGTACACAATTTTGGCAGCCGTATCAAGATTCAGATCTATATTGCCACGAATGGGATACACCAGAGCCGGCAAACCAGAAAAGACTGACCAAAACCAATATTATATTCTGAAAGCCCGTAGTCGAAAACCCGGCCAGATGGTATTCATTTCTTTTAAAACCTCTCCCGCTTCGAGCGCCACAGCGGAAGAGTTTTGACTACCTTCACCAAATGTAACTAAATTATTATAATAATAATTATCATCGTGGTATTTTTAACCAGCAATGTTGCCACGTAAACCAAATAAAATATAGTTAAAAAATGAAAGTATTTTCCACTAATTAAAATATCAGAATCAATTTAATTAGCAGACCGTTGGGCGTTGGCGTTATTGCGACAAGAACGACTACATATCCAACGTTGTAATCGAGGACAATTTCTAAACAAGTGCCGGCCAAGCAGCGATAGGCAAAACTACCGCCACTGTTCAGTGCACAAGCCCGTTAGTTGACCGAAATACCACTACATTCTAGTTAAAATAGCCCGCTAAGCCAGTGAGTGGCCGAACTGCCACTATATATAGCTATGTGAGCGGTTGACCGAGCTGTCATTACTGTCCGATGCCGAGTGACCGAGTGAGCGAGTGACCGAGCTGCCACTACTTTTCAGTGTAAAAAGCCCGTTAGGGAACGAGTGACCGAGTTACCACTACTGTCCGGTGCACAGAGCCCGGTAGGAGAGCGGGTGACCGCGCTGTCACTAATGTCCGGCGCAGAAAGTCCGTTAGCGCAGCGGGTTACCGGGCTACCAATGCTGTCCGGCGCAAAAAGCCCGTTCGGTGAAGGGGTGCTGAGTTACCACTACTGTCCGTGCACAGATCCCGTTAGGTGAGCGGGTGACGAGAGCTGTCACTGCTGTCCGGCGCAGAAAGCCCGGGAGGTGAGCAGGTGACCGAGCTGTCACTACTGCCCAGTGTACAAAGCCCGTTAGATGAGCGATGACCGAGCTACCACTGCTGTCCGGCGCAGAAAGCCCGGGAGGTGAGCAGGTGACCGAGCTGTCGCTACTTTTCAGTGTAAAAAGCCCGTTAGGGAACGAGTGACCGAGCTACCACTGCTGTCCGGCGCAGAAAGCCCGGGAGGTGAGCTAGTGACCGCGCTGTCACTAATGTCCGGCGCAGAAAGTCCGTTAGCGCAGCGGGTTACCGGGCTACCAATGCTGTCCGGCGCAAAAAGCCCGTTCGGTGAAGAAGTGCTGAGCTGCCACTACTGTCCGTGCACAGATCCCGGAAGTTGAGCGGGTTACGAGAGCTGTCACTGCTGTCTGGCGCAGAAAGCCCGGGAGGTGAGCAGGTGACCGAGCTGTCACTACTGTCCAGTGTACAAAGCCCGTTAGGTGAGCGGGTGACCGAGCTGTCACTACTGTCCAGTGTACAAAGCCCGTTAGGTGAGCGGGTGACCGAGCTTCCACTGCTGTCCGGCGCAGAAAGCCCAGGAGGTGAGCGGGTGACCGAGCTGTCATTATTGTACAGTGTGCATGAGTGACCGAGCTACCACAACTGTCCGGCGAACGGAACCGGTTAGCTAAGCAAGTAATCGAGCCACCACTACTGACCGGACGTACACCACTGGTCACACACCAACTTCCAGTGAAAAGAGCCAGTGAAGTGATGAGTTACCGAACTAGTGATCCAGTGCACTATCACTGTTTCGAATTTCACACCTTATAGACTGATATTTCGGCTTTCTTTTCGGGTAGGGGATATCGTAAAATTATCTGTATGTACAGCAAAATGCTTTCAAGGTTGAGAGAATCATGAACTGATTTTCATAGAAAATTCGTGTTTGCCCTATTGCATGTACCGATCATGTTTCGACGAATAGACTGATGTTAATCTAATAAATATTCATTCAAATTAAAATAAAATGGCCATGGACCTCAAGAAACGCGGAGGCGAAGCCGAGGCTGTTTCTTGTAATATATAAGGCAATGATATTTGTGGTAAGCCCAGCATGCTGGAATGTTTCAAGCAATATTATCACGCGTTGTTCTCCAAGAGTACCCTTAAGTACAGTTCGACAGACCGGCAATAAGCAGGAACTCATTTTTTTTCTTGCGCAAGAGAAATATTGACTGGCCGCTTCCGGCCGAGCCTAGGGCTTGTGTGAGTTTCATCTGCTGGTTGGTGTTTATGGTTTTTGGTATTTCGGTTGCTTACTGTAATTAGTGGGTTTATTCCTCGAATCAATGATAATTTGTTGGTTTTATGAACCTGCAGTTAATAGTGAGGTATCGTCCATCGCTGTTTTTACTGCCCATAAATAGAGATATTGTACACGATTGTATTCCTTAACGAAATGTACAAGTAGCAGGTATATGTGTAACAGTACGTTATGGATCAGTTTAAGCAACTTTTACGATCAATAATATTGTTATTGGTACGACCAATAAGAGTACCTAGTTTGCTTCATCATTTCATCGCGTTATGGCTAGTTTTCTTTGCTTCGAATTCCTTATTTCTCTGTTTGATTGTGGCAAGTTTGTATCCCACAGTCGAAATATACGGTACGAGTATTCAAAGTAAAGTTTGTGGTATCTGTTGGTGGCAGTACGGATACAGATTCCAGTACAAGCGAGTGCATTTTTTATTTCGTATACTATTCGAGTACATACGAGAGGCAACCGATCGGTTTATAACAGATATAATTACTTCTTAAGTACTGGGGGTATAAGGTATTGGTAATTTGGTGGCACTACCAGGTGCCGTTACTGCAACTCAGGTAACGAATGCAGGGTATCTTTTATGTACCTTATTCGTTGCAATTGGCACTATTCTATATATGGGGAATTCAACTGCTGAGGCCAGCACTCCTTGTACTTGTTGCGGTCACCCGGCTGGAGTTTTGCGTTGTGGCTAAACATGGTGCTCATGTACCGCGCCCGATTTAACCGTATGTGATGCCGTATCGTTACACCCCAGGCGGGTGACGGCATCAAGTACAGGAAGTGTTTGCCTCAGCAGGTAAATTCCCCTTATATCTTAGAACAGTGTCACATTAAAAAAAAATCAATAACTGGCAAAATCGTAAAGACAGTAGTAATCGCAAAATTTTAATAAATAGTAAGATGTGCGTATACACGATATTCTGCAAGCAAGAGTTATGTACCAACGTTCTTCGAATTCCAAATTAACAAACCCGTGAATAAACGGGCTTTGT